CGAGAACTGGCTAACTCGTGCTCTGCAATGTATTACATATGGATTTGGTAACCCATAGCAGTCCACGAGACTGCCCTCTTGATGGTGGTTTAAAGTCACTGCAAATCTGAAAAGCTGTTTATTATTTATCGTTTTTTTTCTTTTCTATTATTTCTATTCAGTACATTTTCTTATTGCTATTGTTCTTATGAATGTACCGGTAAATATTTTTTACCGGCCCCCGTTCGATGAGAGTATAGCTCAAACAACTTGACATCCAGGTTTAAGTCACCTTGATGAAATAAAAAAGAAAAACCCTGGATCCTGAGATGCAAGAATGATGAACAGCGAACATTCAGGCAATTGATGCACATTCTAATGAGCTTGAAAGTCATAAATTATAATAAAGGACACTCAATTAACAAACAATGAGAAAAGCAAGACAATCAATCAGGATGTTGTCTTGGAAAGAACACTTTAAGTCATCAGCGTAAAAAAGGCGTGTGTACAATGTGAATAACTCCCAAAGTGTTGGATTTACAATACACAGTGTTAAAAAGTACACTTTGCCTGTGTAGATTATGGCTGTATGATTTTACATTTACCCTATGCCTCAAGTGTTTACACCCGATAGAGCATATTTGATCTGAGCGGTGTTGGATTGACACTGCTATATTTACTGTTTATCTGATCTGATGTGGACCAGCTGAAAACTGGATGTGTGCCATGTATCACCTCCAGTACTTCTTGTGCATTTTTAAACGGATAGCTCTTAACGACTTTGGCCGTGGGGTTAACCCTTAGAAGTCAATCACAGCGTCTGTTTCGAATTAAGTAGGAATGATGCAACACACCTATTGTTTGATATTGATTTCAAACATAATGTGTAGGTTTCAAAAAGGTTATTAGTTTTGATATTTTTGGTTTTAACCGAACATTATGTGAAAAAATGTGCGACCGTCTTTTAGTTTCATTTCACAGACCCCAGATCAGTGCCATCTAGTGGTGAAAAAAGGGTTAACCATTGGAAGTACAAGACTTGTGATATGGCTTGTATTTTTCTACGCTCTGGCACAAAAAAGCACAATGGAACAAAAAGTGCTTGGAACAGTTTATAAGGTTTAGGAGATGTTTGTCTGTTTTTTTTTATACGATTTTACCATTTTGAGGGGATTTATACTTTTTTGTCTCAACACTTGATTTTTGCAGTAAAAAAAAAAGCAGTAAAATTTTATTCTACTTTTTGAGCAAAGTAGAATAAGCTGTCCCTCTGATGTTATTGTGTAATGTAATGACAAAATATTTGTAAAAAAAAAAGTAGCTTTGGCTGTTTTAAAAAAGATATCAAGCATTGTCACAAAAAACTGTTTTAAAGGTAATTTATTAGAGCAAAAGTAGTAAGAAAATTCCCTGGACTTCTAAGGTCATTGTCCTGATGCCGAACACATTTTTGGCCAATCATATCCCTCCATGGTGGTATAGAAAGATGGATAAGTGTCCTGTAATTATCAGCATTTAGAACACTATTAATCCTGAGCTAATCTCCAACTCTATTTGCAGACATGCAGTCCCAAACATTTTCATGACTCTCATATTGTATTCTCTGCAGCCCTTCAACGAATACGCTGCCTTCTGCTACAGCCAAATAATTAAAACTTTGACTCCACAGACAGAGCACCTGCTGCTATTTTCTGCACCCCAGTTCTTGTTCATGCATACTTGAGTCTCATTGCCTCATTGCCTTAACTTTTCCATTAAGACCACTTCTGGCCAACTTCTCTGACGAGTGTGTCTTGCATCTACCAAGGTTCTTGGTCTGACCACTGTGTCTACAATCCTTGATGTTGTCCTTCTTTGTGCTTCCTCAAAGGATGGGATCACAATACCTAATTGGCCTCTACACACCAATCTGAAGTTATGTGCCTCGATCGAAAACCATGGGCGCCAATGGGAGCAGAACAAGTGGTGCCAACAAAGTTTTCTGTAGGAGAACGACCAACAAAAGCTGGCTCTTTTGATGACATGGGACATAAAAGAGCTGCTTGGTGGCGCTCATCCCACATTTTCCTAGTGACGGTACAGAAAACAGGAAAAAGGTAACGAGCCACAAATCCTCTTTTCTCCACATTTTTGTCAAACAGCTCCCTGTGATCAGCCACCAACAGAAGAAACCGCTCGACATCCTGGATTTTTTCAATGTGTTCTTTTGATTTCTTCTCTGTTGGAATCTTAAGGGAACCTTGTTGATGCAGTATAACTACCTTGTATCCTGCTGCTGTCGTGATAAGAAACTGTCTTTCTCATGCTCACCATGTGGATTCCCACATCCCTATCCTGCAATTGTTGTGCAACTCTACCTATATCAACCAATACTGGTTTGAATATCAGCAAATATTGATTTCATTTGGATTTTTACATTTGAAAAATATAAACAATCATATTTTTGATTTCTCAAAGCGTTCTTTCTTTACACCTTGTTTTCACACCTGCTTTAAACTTTTGCGCACGACTGTGCATACAGAAAAGTGACAGCTGTGATGAGCCAAGCAAACTCTTGGGCTGAAAAATGTTCCCGTCAGAGCTTGACCTGCTCTCAGGCTGAAAGGAAGAGTATTATTTTCTATTATTTCTAAAATAAAACCATTTAATATTGGTGCCTTTAAAGAAATGCTACATATTAGATCAGATGGAACCAACAAATAGTGTCTACATAAACTTTTCTGTTTCCATCCAAAGCAAAACATTGCAACAGTTTAATTAAATAATTGACAGCTGAGAGGCAGATTAAACAAAACAAAACCTTAAACAAAGAACGAGAACTAGTGTGGAGACTAAATGTGATTTATCCTTGACCGTCAAAAACATCTAATTAGATTTGGAAAAATATGCTAAAAAATAACAAACGAGAGAGAAGATGTTCTGGATTTACTCACTCTCGTGTTTCAAGAGAGTTCCTCGCTTGGTGTCCGTGATGCTCTCCAATCTGAGCTCATTTAAAGAGCAGCGCGCGCTCCGGGGCAAGCTCTAAAGCATCGTCTCCAGTTAAAAACCCGCACTTTCGATATAAAAACCTCCTCCCATGAAGTCAGAAAAATAAAACGACGGCTCCTGCAAAGCTACACAGCTGTCTGTTCAGAGGAGCTCATCGCTCTATCTTCACCGGGAGCGATCGAGAGGAGAACTGGTCCCCGACACACAGCAGCAAGAGCGCGCGCAACACTCTCGGCCCCGCCCCCTTCCCCCGGTCCAGCCCCTCTCCAAGAGATGCACCGTCTCACTCATCTCACCAAAGATGCAGAACTTCAGCACAAATCTACTCAGGAGAAGTAAGCAAACAACACGCTGCAGTCTCATTTTTGTTTTCATATTTACTTTAAAAGTATTGGGCAGTTTAACCATTTTTTTATTGCCATTCAGTGCATACAGAGAAACTGAGCAATTAAACAGTGTAAAAATAAAAAATAAAGTGTAACGATGGGGAAAATGAATTTAAAAAAGATTCTGAATTCAGAGGGTTCTGAAACTAAAGATACATATAAGATATAATATGCAACACATAAGTGATGAAATGCATTTTTAGAAGCATTTGTGAAGTGCAGAATATAGGTTGTCCACCAGCTGAGATTCGACTTGCACGCCTCCGAGTCCTGCAGATTTACAAGTAAACTTCTCAGCAGATCTCACGCTGCAGTCTGTGTTTGTCTCTGGATATAACAAGGTTATGCAGAGGTGAGAGTGGACTCTATGATTGCTGTTTAGGACTGGACCATCATCCTGGCTAGCACCTGGAGCTTCTTCAGTTGCCGCAGAAAGAACATTGGACTTCTTGAAGAGAGAACTGGTGCTCAGATCCCACTTAAGGTCCTAGGTGATGGCAGTGCCCAGGAACTAGAAGGATTCCAATGTGGAGATGGGGACATCAGCGTGCGAGTCTGAGAGTCCTGTATCATGTCACCGTTATAGTGCTAAAAACATTCAAAATGGTTAAGTGGAATTTAGTGGTGGCAGGTGCATTTGTTTTCTCTGGGTGGGGGGGGGGGGTACACATCTATAAAGCTGTGAAAAAGGGCAATATTTAAAACAGTAAAATCAAATTTGTTTATTTAAACACTGGTTATTCAAATCACATTTAGTGTTTTACCTTTTATATGTAAATTTGTGTCACTGGTTTGAGTCTGATTCAGATGGAGGTGAAATGAAAGCAGAATAAATCTCCGTGGACAATGATGTTTGCAGATGACATTGTGATCTGTAGTGAGAGCAGAGAGCAGGTGGAGGAACACCTGGAAAGTTGGAGGTCAGCTCTAGAAAGAAGAGGAATGAAAGTCAGTCGCAGTAAGACAGAATACATGTGTTTGAACGAGAGGGAGGGAAATAGAACAGTGAGGTTACAGGGGGCTGAGGTCAAGAAGGGGTCAATAGTCCAGTGTGACGGGGAGTGTGGAAAAGAGGTGAAGAGACGAGTGCAGGCAGGTTGGAGTGGATGGAGAAAAGTGTCAGGGGTGTTGTGTGACAGAAGAGTGTCAGCTACAATCAAAGGAAAGGTGTACAGAACAGTAGTGAGAGCAGCTATGATGTATGGGTTCGAGACTGCAGCAGTGAGGAAGAGACAAGAAAAATGTAAGAATATTTTTAAGAATATTACCAGAGTACATAGGGCACTCATTTGGTCAGCAATGGCACTGCTCCAGAAGAAAATGTGCCAACAGTGACATAGAAACCAAAAAAGACATCACAAGTCTCCGCCCCATTCTCCCCCAATGTTTCATGGCAATTTTGGAGCTTCTTCGGAGGGCACCTTCAAGACTCTAAGAAAATCACATGTCATGTGACCACTGGTGATTACACTCTGCTCATGATGCGATACACATCACGACATCAAACTCAAATGAAAACATATTTTACTGAAACTCATTCAATGTTTAAACTGTCATTGGACAATACAACTACATTTCAAAAGTTAACCACAAAGCAGAGATAAAGCCAGAGAAAGAGGAAGATGTCTCTTGTGTTCAGAGCCGTATTCTGTGGCTCAGTCAGTAGAGTATTATGCTAGCAATGCAAAGATCCTGGGTTCAAACCTCAGGGAAAGAAGATCTGTGTTCGTTCTTGAAAGACACTTTGGATCTGCTTTTAAATTCTTTTATGAAATTGTGTGGATTCTTTACAGGCAGAGCTTTTTGGTGCTCATTTAGCAGCAGAGTGAGCCAGATCCTACATTTTACTGCACATCATCAAAGCATCAAAGAAAGCTGCTCTTAATTGATGATTAGGAAAATGATACCACACGTGTTGAATTTAGGCTTATTTTGAACATCAGCATATCAGTTAAGTTGCCAGTGTGAGACATGAAGCATTCATGTAGCCTTGTGAAGTAGAGTTGAACACAAGATACATTCAGAATAAAATGTAAAAGTACTGACACACTTGTCCAAATCCACCCCTTTCTCCACTGATTTCTCTTTGCTGTTAGTCGATCTTTTCACTGTTATTTTGATCTGAAACCTAAAGATTAAATGATCATTTCTTTGTGGCCGATATAGTCTAGCGAAGATAATCCCAAGGAGCTCCAATTGAACTTTTGAGACAATAAACTCATGTAAGTAGAAATAGTTGTTACAATGAAAACTATAACTGAGCCTGATTGGCTACAACAGAATCACTTGAGGTGATAAATAAACCCAGACTCCCAGGAAGGTGGTTTAACCCTGCAATCAAAGCTCCTCTTTAGAATTCAGAGACACACGATGTTCACTCAGCAAATCAGCCAGACGCACTGACTCTAAATCTCTCCATCAACGTAAACGTGGCCCCGCTGCGCCTTCATTTCTGTCTCAATCACCCCCAAATAGCCCATCACAATGACTGTACATGCAGACATACTGGAAATGATTCTATTTTGGTCTCTGCCTTCAACAGGACCTCGAGAGCGAGAGGGTCGAGATGGCTATCAGAGCATGATGCTGATTTGTATTTTGAGCAAGAGTAAAAATTTCCATAATTACATGCATGACCTGGCGAGCACTCGCCGTAGACTCAGATATTACGGGGATTTATTCTGAGCAGCGGCATTAGAGATAAGTACTGATGTGACTGAGGTTACATTTCTGAGGTTTTAGTGGTAAGAGAGGTAAAATCAACTTTTGCGGAAAAATAAAAATACATTAAAATAAAAAAATGTGTTTGATGCCAGCCTCTCTTTTAAGGGAGCGCTTTTACAAAACAGCTTCCTACACATAAAATAATACATTATAAATCACCAAGTAACTTGGAAATACACGGCATGCTTTCATTACCTCAATTAGTGCAATTTATTGTAACATGGCTTGCCATGTGGGCAGACGTTGGCAGACTCTAGTTTGTAGACATTGAATCATATTACACTATTTTCTTATTTAACCAAATTCATTTAAAGACCCTTTAGATGACTACATTCATTCATTCATTTTCATTCCAGCTTATTCCCTTTCAGGGTCGCGGGGGTCTATCTATCTCCGGCACTACCTATCTCCGGCACACATTGGGCGAGATGCCGGGGTACACCCTGGACAGTTCGCCAGTCCATCACAGGGCAACATTCACTCACACATTCACACGTAAGGGGAATTTAGATTATTCAATTAACCTAATGCATGTTTTTGGGAGTGTGGGGGAAACCAGAGTACCCGGAGGAAACCCATGCAAGCACAGGGAGAACATGCAAACTCCTTCCAGACCTTCTACCTGGAAGGTCACAGTGCTACCCACTGCCCCACTGTGCTGCCTATAAGAGAAATTCACTTTTAGAATTGCTTAACAAGGGTGTCAACTCAAAATAATCAAACGGTTCCCATATTTGTACCATGGCTCACCCTCTGGAGTGAGGTAAAGATATAAACAAAAGCGAAAATATTCCTCAAAAACAAATGCACTCACTTGATCTGGAGCTGAGGCTGGATCATAAACAGCAGGTACAAATGTGTGAGTCCACAAAGCAATGTTCCAAGCAAACAAACACATGTTTCTTTTGCAGTGCAATCCTTCATTAGATGATGAAACCCTTCCTTATATCACTAGATGCTAATTCTGTCAAAAATAACATAACACGTGATAAATATGAAATTCATGAATATTTAGTGTGTGCACTCCCTGAGGCATAGCTGAATGCACTCCATGCTCCCCTTTTATCCAACAACAGAGATGCGGCGCACATCCAGCTCCAACAACCAAAGATCAAAGTAAAACTGATGTTTAACGTTGTGTTTGACTCGTCAAATCAAACTGTTATGATTTCTTTCACTGAACTTTAAATATGTTCTTTTCATTTTCTCCTAAATTTACATTTACTAAACCTGTTTACTAAACCTGGAAGCAAGGTTTAAGGAGGAATAATAGAAAATACAGCTTTAAAACACTAAACAGCTAACAGAGAACAAAGACGAAGGAGGGGGGAGGGGAAAAGAGAGTCTAAAAGCGTGAATGTTAGAAAGGAAGAGAGCGAACAGGATCTTATAGAGCCTAGCTGTGATGTAACTTCCTTTTTGTGATGTAACTTAATAAAAAATTTTTTTTTTATCAGGTGCTCTCACTTGTCTTATTTGATGTTCAGCACATTGATCATCACAAGATACATTTACTGTGCTTAAAAAGAAATGATTACATACTAAACTCAATATTACTTTTGCTTTTTAGAAAATATTGTAAATAACTCAATTAAACTATATTTAAAAACTGCTAATATTTATTAGAAAAAATGGAAACGACCATTTTAACCTATTTTTAAAGAATTATTGTATAGATTTAGTGTTTCTATGTGTTTCTCCTATTCGTTTCTATTTTACATATCACATTTTGTCACAAATGTCACATTTTGGGGCCCCAGACTTCGACATTTGTGATAAATCTAGATTAAATCTTGGGGGACTGTGCAATTATAACTGTTTCTAGGATCGTACTCTGGGGTGCATATTAGCACAAGATACAACTTTTTACACTCCCATATTTTCCGATTAAAAAATGAACTAAACCATTTTAACTTCTATAACTTTAATGCTGCATATCCATGAGATCTTAGACGTCAAAAGATCAAACACCATTGCTTTCTTAGTTCAAGCCCTTTCAAATGTAATGACACAAAGGTACTGACAAAATGACCCATCACACAAATTTTCTAGTAGTTAAACATTAATATCTGTGATGGACTGGCGACCTGTCCAAGGTGTACCCCTGCCTCTCGCTTGATGTGTGCTGGATGTGTGCACCGGCAGACCCTGTGACCCTGAAAGGGAACAGGCAGGTTGGTAAATGAATGAATAAACATTAATATCACTAATTGGATTTTAGAACATGAAAATCTGATTTCTACTTGTGTACATTATAGACATGGAATTTAAGAGCCAGTGCATTCCCAGAAATAATGTGTGAAACAAGTTTCAGGAGGAGCAATCAGGGCATGCAGCACGTGTTCCTAATTAATTCATCAAACCATACAAACCAGTCTGAACTTGTATCATGTGACTGTGTCCAAGCTTCACCCCTCCTTCCACCCAAACATTCGTCACTTTTAATGTCCGAACAGTCCAATCCTTATTTTAATTGCTATGTTTTTCTCTTTAATAACCAATAAGCTTCATGCGATTCAGATATAGAATCTGAATTCATTTGAAACTGTTATAAAATTGAATTCAAATTTTATGTGCTGCTGACTTTCTGGGAATTGTGTGTTCCATATGCTCTATTTCCACTGTCTTAACTCTCGGTAAAGCATATTGAACGACCAAAATGCTATATCAAATGAAAAGTGCTATATCAATATATATATTGTGGACCTACAGAAGGCTGGAATGGCCAACAAGACTATCGCCAAGCAGCTGGGTGTGAAGGTGATGACAGTTGTTGCAATTATTCACAACGTTTTTCTGCCAAGGGGACGGGACAAGTGCACCACATCAAAGGGAGGATGGATGGGGCCATGTACCATCAAGTGTTGGGTGAGAAATGGGTCGTGGTTGGGTATTGCAGCATGACAATGATCCAAAACACACGGCCAAGGCAACAAAAGATTGGCTCAAGAAGAAGCATATTAAGGTCATGGAGTGGTCATTCAGCCTCCAGACCCTCATTGTTGTCTCTCACTGTTCAATTAAACCTACCATTGAAATACTTGAGAAACTTCTCATTTCTTTGTTAGTGGGCAAACTTACAAAATCTGTTGGGGTTCAAATAGTTTTTTCCCTCACTGTAAGCAAGACCTGGGGGTGAACTTGTGAAATTAATTACAAAGAACCCCTACCTAAACAAGACCGTTTTAGATTACATTCCGGAACAAATCAGTTCAGTTATTGAACTTAGAGGCTTTATTAAATCTTTTGAAACATAACCAATGCGTCACAGTGTGTCATCACTTGCCATGGCAGATCCACATAATACGATGATCTGGCATCCGTGGTGAGGAATGAAATACTGTACCAACCTCCATTTTCTTTTTTTTACTGCAATACCAGCTTTCGCCATAAACTTACCCCATTATTATTTTTATAGGGCATTACCCCTTTAAATGCCCCAGGACCCTAATTTGTCAACATATGTTGTAAAAAGGGATTAATAGCTACAATATAATTTCAGATATTTTCCCCATAGATCTATAATCCATAGAACTTGGTTGACCTTTGCTTGCTGATCATCGTGGTCTTCCTGGAGCTTCTCTGGAGCAATTATTTTGCCATTTCATCCTTGTATAAAACTTACCTGTTACTAAAACTCACTGGTTTTCAGGCCAAGATTAAATGACCGTATCTTTGGCTCCAATCAGGTTTTAATTCTGTTTATGTTTGGGCTTGAAACCTTGCGTTTCAGTTCTCATTTTGCCCTTTTCACCAGAGCAGTTACACAGCTTTTTTTGAAAGCACATGCACTCTTAGTGAAGCGATGGCTTTGACGTGATTTGTTCTCTTTCATTAACTCTCACAGCCTAAAGTGTGTTGCGCTTGGAAAAGGGCTTGAATCATTAATGCATGAGGTATTTCGAGTGGAAACAGTCTTTCTTTTAGTCATGTTAGAATTAGAGCATCTGAAACAGGATGTGAAGAGGTTCAGGGACAGCTCGAAACACTGTT